GCCAGGGGCCGTGCGGGGGCCAGGCCGGCGCCCCTGGGGGCTGTGTGGTGTCCGCTGGGGCCACAGCCCTGGGCGGGGCTGCTGCTTCCTACAGGGTTGGGCCTGCGCCTGGGTCCACTGTGGCCTCGGCGTGTCTGTGGGGACCCGGGTCCGGGAGGCGAGGTGAAGGTGGCTCTCACGGTGCCGCAAAAAATGGGGACCTGGTGGGCGCCGGGCCCAGCGCAGCCCAGGGCGTGTCTGTCACCGGCCTCTGTCGTGTCCGCGCGGGGTGACACACCGTCTCTCCTCCCCAGCGCCGACCAGGCCCTCGACAGGTTTGCCATGAAGAAGTATTACGACGACAAGGTCTCCGCTCTGATGCAGCCCTCCCAGAAGCGGTACGTGTCCCCCCGGAGGGGACGGCCATGAGGACCGACGGGTGCAACAGCAGACAGGGCAGTGGGCGGCCAGGAGCGGGAGGGAGCCCTCCCTGGGGAGGCGGGGCCGCCCTCCTGCTGACCTGGTGTCTCGGACAGGCAGCCCCTGGATGAAAGGAGAGGTGTGTGGAGCCCCCTGGTGGCCAGGACTGGCGGCAGCCAGCCCTCTGGTCCCCGGGCTCCCACCCCGGGGGACCCTGGGGAGCCCCCGTTTATGCTGCAGGACAGAGGAGCTGTTCGCCGCCAGGACGGTGGGAGCACCAGGAGAGGGACTGGGCGGAGCCCGTGTTCCCCTCACACCTTCCTCAAAGCAGGGCTGGCAGCCGGGTCGCCTAACTTTGTGTTTAACCGGCTCAGCTTGCTTCACGCACAAACCCAGCGGCCTATTTTGAACTAATGGAGCACAGTGTGTGAATTGCAGGCGTAACTTAGAGATTTTTTAAAAAAATATAAGTGAGGCTGAGCCTGCTGGTGGTTCGGTCGGAGGGCGGCTGTCCTGGGCGGGGACACCCATGCCATGGTCGGATATTGGGGGGTTTCCTGGTGGTTGGAGTCAGGCCCCCCCGGGAGGAGGGAGGGGCCGTGGTCGCGATGCTCAACCACTGGGCCACGCTGGCCGGGCAGACTCGTCCCTGTAGAACCGCCCCCTGACGGTCACGGGCACATGTGGGTCATGCAGGCACCACCGGAGACGCCCGGGCTGCTTGGCTCCCTCCTGGGTCCCCCGAGGGGCGGGCCATGAGGTGCCACCTGGGCACTCACTGCCGGTGCCTTGCAGGTACGTTCAGTTTCTCAGCGGGCTGCTGTCGGGGACAGTGAAGATGAACGCCTCGCCCCTCTTCCTGCATTTCGTCATCCTGCACGGCACCCCCAACTTCGACACGGGCGGTGGTGAGTGTCCCCACCGCGGGCTCGAGGTCCCCTGTCCCTGCACTGCGCGGGCACCCCTCCGTCCTGAGGCCCAGGCCCCGTGGTCAGGACCGGACAGAGCCCCCTGTGTGAGGTGGGGCCACTCGCTTATCAGGAAGGACAGACAGCCCAGCGACCCCGGGCCCCTCACGCTGCCGTCCGACTGCGGCACTGAGCCCAAGCCAAAGGCAGCTGGTGGGCGCCGGCTCGTGCATCTTTCCCTCTGTCACCCTCCCCGCAGTCCTGCGTGGTTCCTCGGGCTCACGGAAGATCGACCTCTCTCTCCCTCCCTCCCCTCTGCAGTGTGCCGGCCCTTCCTGAAGCTGTACCAGGCCATGCAGCCCGTCTACACCTCGGGGATCTAGTAAGTGCGTCGGCCTCGTGGGCTTGTGCCGGGAGTGGCATCGGGCAGTCGGGCCAGCTCTGCAACAGGAGGGGCGTGGGGCAGAGGATGCCCGTGGTCAGTGCTCCTCGGTGGCTGGTGCTGTGTCCCAGTCCAGCTTCACCACTGCCACACGCCACACTCCACACCGCCACACGCCACACCTCCACACGCCACACCTCCACATGCCACACCGCCTGGCCGGCTGTCAGGCTCACAGTGGGGCATGGACGAGGGCGGGGCCCACGTGCTGTGGGGAAGGAAGCACGTCCCTCCTGTGACAGCCTTTACCGTTGGCCTTCTCTGCCCTTTGCAGTTTAGACAGGATAGATTCACATACTCAGAACTTGTTTTATCTTTTTAATATATTTTTATTGATGTCAGAGAGGGAGAGAGAGAGAGACACCAATGATGAGAGAATCATGGATCGCTGCCTCCTGCACGCCCCACACTGGGGATCGAGCGCACAACCGGGCATGTGCCCTGACCGGGAATTGAACCGTGACCTCCTGATCCGGAGGTTGACGCTCAGCCCCTGAGCCACGCCGGCCAGACCAAGCTCAGAATTTGCACCCATTCTGGCTGTTTGGTGTTGGCCGAAGCACCTGTGAACATTCAGAGAGTGAGTGGAGGCGAAAAGCGCCCTCACCCCCGTGTCGCCACTGAAAACTGGCTGCTCTCGCTTCTGACTCGCTGGGCCCGGGCGGGGGGACAGCGCCCTCCGCTAATTCCGAGGCGGAGGCGTGGGCACCGTGCCCCGCGCGTGCCGTGCTCTCGGGGTGGCCTGCGGTCCCTGCTGAGGCCTCGGCTCCTGCCCGGCCGGCAGTTTCGGCTCCTGAGCCTTGTCCCCGAGGACCCCAGGAGCCGGCCGGGCCCTCGGGGTGTCCTGTGTGACTCTGAGCTTTCAGTTGTCGGGTTGCTTTTCTCGAAATGCCTTCCTCCCGGGAAGCCCCGAGATGACGTGACCATCGCCTCCTTGTTTTTCCAAAGCAACGTTGGCCCCGAAAACCCGAGTCGCATCTACATCGCCATAGAGCCGGCCCAGCTCCTGAAAGGGGACGTCATGGTGAGTGCTGGCCCCTGCGCCCCGGCCACCGCTCAGGGGGAACATCACCCTAGAACAGGGACAGGGAACCTTGGCCCCAGAAACCTGTGCGAAGGGGGGAGTAGCCGTTACCTCAAGGCAGTTGATTAATCTGAGGGAAGTCGCTGTACCGAGAGGGACAGAGTATATCCCAGCCGCTCAGTATGTGTCAGCCACTGCGCCCCCACGGCCACGTTCCCGACTGTGAGGTGCAGCCTTTGTTGGTCAGATGCCTTCAGGGAGGATATAAGTCGTGGACCTGCCTTTAGCAGCTGAGTGTGAGATTCAGCGGGGTCATCGTGGGCGGCTAGTGCTCGGACGCCGATTCCTCGAGCAGGTTCTGATTCCTGGGCCGGTTCTCAGGTGGAACCAGCTGGCCCATCATTGCCTTTCATGCAAATTGACCATAGAAAATGCCATACGTGTGAAGTGATTCTGGGAGGCGGGCACAGAAATTAGCTTGTGTGGAGCTTGTGTGGCCCAGATCAGTGACATGGTCCACGGGATAGCTTCTTGTTTTATTACAAATGATTCATTCATCGTTTGAGGATTCTCATGAATTTCCCCTAAAAATATGGGTTTTAAGACTGTTTCTTAGTGGCCGTGAACTCCATCGTGTCCCATCTGAATTCTCACAGTATCAAGCCAGTGGGGTCAGGAGGACACAGACCCCTGGGCACACTGACACCCTGGGCACCCACACCCTGCACACACTTACCAGGGGAGCAGCCCTGTGGCTGGGGCCTCAGGTCTGTCCAGCCTCCCTGGTCACTGAAAGGGAGGGGCCTGCGGGGGAGGGGCCGTGGGAAAGAGGGCTCTCAGGTCCTGAGGGGATGCGAAGGGGTGAGGCAGCAGCAAGGCATGGAGCTTAGCGCGTGGCCACCCCAACACCCCAGCAAAAGCTCTGGCGTCCGCTCCCCAGCGGGAGCACTGAGGGTCCTATCCTGAACCCACGTTCTCAGCCACCGAGGAGCCTGGACAGGAGGCGAGGTTTCTTGTGGCGGGCTTACTTTTTTGTTTTGTTTTTAAGTATATTTTTATTGATTTCAGACAGGGAGGGAGAGAGAGAAACATCAATAATGAGAGACAATTATGGACGGGCTGCCTCTTGCGAACCCCGCTCTGTCCTCCGCGCCTCTCCTGTGAGGCCGTCACATGGGTCAGGCCCCTGGTGACCTCCCCACCACCATCTCCTAGCCCAGTGATGGCGAACCTTCTGAGCTCGGCGTGCCAGCATTTTGAAAAACCCTAACTGAACTCTGGTGCCGTGTCACATATAGAAATGTTTTGATATTTGCAACCATAGTAAAACAAAGATTTATATTTCTTATATTTATTTTATATATTTAAATGCCATTTAACAAAAATCAACCAAAAAAATGAGTTCGCGTGTCACCTTTGACACGAGTGTCATAGGTTCGCCATCACCTCCTAGAGACACAGCTTTGAGCACAGCCTCAGACACGGGGCAGTGCTCCAGCGTCCGAATCCGGGGGTGTGGGTCCGCCTGTCTCCCTGTGTTCACCCAGCAAACCCTCCTGGAAGGTTCCCAGTGAGGCCGGTTCCCTGGGTCCCCCGGCACCGCCCGTGAATGGCCGGGCAGACCCACTCCCGGAGCTCAGATTCCAGGGCCGGGGTTTGCGGGCCAGGGGCCTGGTGTGACTGCCCAGGCACAGGGAGGAGCTGCAGGTTGCTAGGTGGGGGCGGGGCTCCTGGCACAGCCGAGGACCAGGGGCCCCTGGGGTCCCACCTGTGCCGCTGTGCACATCCCAGGGCCGGACCCTCCCGAAAATGACCCGAGGAATCAGCGCAGGAAGAAAAGATGCTGGGCCATTCCCGGGAGCGGGGTGGGCGTGTCCCTGAGCGGGGTGGGCGTGTCCAGGAAGCGGGGTGGGCGTGTCCCTGAGCGGGGTGGGCGTG